CGTACAGGGACAAAAACCTTTGCCTGGAATATTTTTTCATAGACTTTCCTTAAAAAAGAGAATTATTGTTCGCATTAGCTTATTACGTTACCATCCTTGTGGTGCACTTTGTTTTCAATAAGTCGATATGTACCTACACATTCCGGGTTCGATTCCCGGCGGCGGTGTGACAACAGCAACAATTTTTCCCTCATTAATTTGAGGTAGTTTGTAGTGGGTGAATAAAAAATCGAAAAAGTGATTTCAAATGAATATTGCATATTAATCGACTATTAAGTAACTAACAATGTCATAGGATTTCATATATTTTCTATTTTAATTATACATGACTGGATACCTTTTTACCTTTTTTGCAAAGAAAGAACAAAAATTAAAGCCTATGTTTTAGGTGCCGAACGCACGGCTTGCCTTTTTTCAATTTTGCAAGTATGTACCGGTTCATTTAAATTTTTAATTAACGATATACTCGTCGTTAATGTGCATCTGTTGAATATTTAAAACTTAGCCGAAGTTGGTTCTGGATCGTCAAACGAACGTTATAAATAAGGTCATCGGGCGTTCTCTAGCATGGGGAAGATCAAAGACGAGACGCTCGTCTGTGAGCTTCATTAACACACAAGGACTTTTCGCGAGTGTAGTGCTACAATGATTAAGGGATATCTAAAGCACCCGATTACCTGGTCACGCGGTTATGCAAAAAGTAAAACAGAAAAAAAGACGAAAATAAACAATCCAGATTTTCATAATTTTCTCGAAAACTAAAGTCGCATTCAATTGAAGTACTTCTCAATTCGTTCGAACAATAGATTAAAACATTTTATAAATAAATTCGATGGGAGGCAAAGCAATTTGATATAGGTGTCTAATAAATTTTGCATATTTTAACAAAACAAAAATAAATTTAATAGCCATATTGGAATGAATAAACAGCATTTTCAGTTTGTACTTATGTGCACAAAAAGAAGCGAATGAAGGCAACAGCAACAGCTGAAAAATAAATTGGAACAGTTACTGTCATTTATCCAGCCGATTGAGGAGGGTTAACAGTTGCTTTGTGAACCGAAAAAAGCAAAAGTAAACAAAGCCGTAGTCGTAAAAGGTGTGAATATGGTTTGGGCTTGTCGTATATTTTCACATACGATCCGTGACCGTATTAATAATTAATATGCAATTTTCCGATCGCATTGAAAAATTCATATGTACTCGTTGTCTGCCTGAAAACACCAGTAAAACGTCTAGATATTGTCAAGAAAAAGCTCTGTCTTTTCGATTAGATTATTTGATATTTCTACTGAAGTAACAAGTTCGAGTAATTGTTAGCATCTTCGGTGCATTCCTATAACTAATAAATGAAGCTTTAATACAGATTTTCGACCTCGAAGGTTCATTTCTTCAAGTATATTAACCTTTACCCTCTGAGATACTCAACTTGAAAGAGTACGGATGATATTTTAAAAAGCAATTTAAAGTGAATTTTTATAAAGAATTTGAAAGAGTCATGCAGACCTTTAGTAAGCTTCGATTAATAACACGAAGGGCGAGAGGACGTTGTTAAGACGCCGCTAAAGTGCTGTAGCTTAATTAATAGCGGGTTGTGGAGTTTTTGGTAATCCGTGCAACAAAAAACGGGTCTGCAAAACATAGATGGTCTAAGCGCAATCTTAATTTCAATTATGAAATAACGAAACTGATCGTATAAGCCGTGGATTTAACAGTCAGTTGGCAGATGTAACTTCATCTAGATTAGTGGCTGTTTCAGAATGAGACGAAGTAGAACAAGAAATGTATGATTAATGAGAAAACCAGAACACTCCAAAACTGTCTTTCATTCACTCCACTGCTTTAAACTTACCCTCAGTTTTACTAAATGAATTGTTTTACTGAATTAATACCTCCTTCTTGTCTTTATATTTAAAAAAAAAACGCATAAAAACACAACATCATAACAGTAATTGTACCCTAACAAAACTTCTGACGCGATCCTTTCTAGTTATCCTCATTCTTTTCACAAAAAATAATCCTAACTATCCGAGCACGTTATTACAGTAAAATTATCAAAAATCAAAACTGTTAATTCTTGCCAGAAAAGAGAAAATTAACTATTTCAATTTGTTATCTGCCACACATTACAACAAAACAACTCCAAAGCCTTATTCATAAATTGTAAGAGAAACCCTATGAAGACGATGAAAGTGGACAAAACCTTTTTTTCGTTATTTATCCTTGTACCTTAACTATAATTGTACAGAGGAGGATAGAAAAAAGAGCGGAAGAACTATTAGGGGAACATCAATTTGGGTTTAGAAGAAATAGAGGAACGCGGGAGGCCGTTCTAGCTTTACGGGTAACTATAGAGAAAAAGAAAAGAGTGCCTACATAGGATTTGTAGATTTAGAAAAAGCTTTTGACAATGTTAAATGGGACAAGATGTTAAATATACTTAAAAATGTACGGATTAGTTACAAAGATAGAAGAGTGATACTTAGTTTGTATAAAGAGCAACAGGCAGTTATAGAGCTGGAGCTGCAACGTAGAGAGTTAAATATTAGGAAGGGAGTCAGACAGGGATGCACACTGTAACCGCTACTTTTTAATCTATACATCGAAGATGCGAACATCATTAAGGGCAGTACAACTGTAGGGATAGATATACAGGGGCAAACGATTAGTATGCTTAGATTTGCAGATGATATAGCAGTATTAGCATCTAGCAAGGAGGAGTTAGAGATAGCTTTAAATAAAATGTATGCGGTACTGACAAAACAGTAATGTATGAAAATGAATAAAAGTAAAACAAAAATACTGGTATGCAAGGGAAGAAAAAGTAGGAAAAGAACGTATATAAAGATAGGAGACGAAAAATTAGAAGAAGTGGTCGATTTTAGGTATCTAGGAAGTCAGATAAATCAGGACGGAAGGAGCAGTAGGGATATAAAGCAGAGGATAGCGCAGGGTCGAGTCGCCTTCAATAAAAAGAAGCCACTTCTATGCTAGCGAACGGTTAATTTAGAAATGCGAAAAAGATTATTAAAGGTGTATGTTTGGAGC